CCCCCGTCCTCTGTCCTCCTCTGCCCTTGGGGACTGACACACCTGAGTCTCATCATTTGAAGTCTCCTGTCCCCTAGCTTCCAAATGAGTTTGACCACAGAGAGACATCAGTTGGAAACTAAAGCCTGGTATGATACAGAAGTCCAAAAAACTCCAGCAGGCACAGTGGCTCACCTGCATAATCCCAGCACTTGAGAGGCTTGAAGTAGGATACCTACCTAAAGGTTGAGGTCACCTAGTTCTAGGCTGCCCTGGGCTACACTGTTAAGACCTTGTCACAAAGTAAAGAAAAGGAGGGGAGACAAAAAGAATATTTCTTATTCCTGCTCCCCACTTGTTTACCAGCCATGACTTTGTGTAATCATGCCCACATCATATCATTGTCCCAATACTAAGAAGTCCTGATGGCTTGTCCTTTTTCTAGTCTGGTGTTTGAACATCAACTCACTATGTAGAGCAGGCTTACTTAAAACTCTCAGCGTCCATCTGCCTCTGCTAGGATTAATGGTCTTCACCACCACGCCCAGCTTTGAACGTCGTTTTTGTTGGTCCCCTTAACCCCACCTATGACTCCATAACTCACTAAGTCCTCTTGAGATAGCTCAAAGGGTCCTTGTTTCCTATCAGGACCTTCCCTGACGCCCCAGAAAACTGGAGCTTTCCTCTCTCTTCACACAGACCCCTCCACTAAGCTGTTCCATCCATCTCGTACTTCATGCCTCTTCTTCCTCACTCTCTCTATCCAGAACTGTCTTTCAATGGCTTCATGCCTAATAATGAACTAGCTTTTGCCTGAACCTCATCTCCCTCTGTACTCGTTCCAAGAGATGAGACAAATCAATAATCAATTTCCAAGTAAGCAACTTTGGCCACATGGGGTGGGAGGCAGAGGCATTCTTGCAGCCAGTTGTTGGAACTCTGGCTCATCTTCCTTTCACACACTCTTAGAGTTGTTGCCAAGAGTTCTGCCGAGAAGCTTAGTGGGACAAGAAGAGGAGGGCCTAGGATAAGGAAAGGGCGGTGTTTACTCTGAGATCTGGTCCTCCTTCGACCTTTGCCCTTCTTTCCTCACATCTCCTCCCTTTGGCTGGACAGCCCTGTACCATGGGGTCGATAATGTCTGCAGCCCAAGGCCAGGTTTGCGCAAAACCCACCTGTCCTCTGAGTAATGTGATGTCTGTGTTTGCTCAACACAGACATCCCCTCCCACCAGGGTAGGAGGTCCCTGTAGTGGAAAAGGCAAAAGAGAAAGCCTGCAAGGAACCTTCTGGGGAGCTGCAAGTCTTAGCTGTGGGGTTTCCTAAGCAGGGCCATGGATGTCATCCCAGCTCTGACTTGAGAAGATCCCCATCAAAAAAGGCTTCATGGTGTCTCTTCCTCTCCATTTTGTGTCCCACTTTCACCCCTCTCTCAGCTCTAGTTTCTTCACTTATAGTGGCAATTTCAGTGGCCAGGACCAAGACCAGGGTAAGGCAGAGTGAGATAGTTGCCTGATGGGCAAAACTTTAAGGTGAAGGCAAATAATTCATCAAAAGAGAAAACCCAGGATTTTAATGAAAGATTTTCAGACATCAAAGTGAATGCTGCAAATCCACAATGAACAAAAGAGCATATTTAAAAATAAACAGAAGCTCCATGTTATTCACGCTCTTTTCTGACTCCGCTTTTTTTTTTTTTTTTAAGGGGAGGAGGAATGGAAGGATCTGTCATCTCCTACACATTTTCTCCCTGAGTCCCCTACCCCCCTACCTCTAGACTTCTCCAGGCTGTTCTCATTTGGGTGGATAAATGGTCCTGCTTCTTCTAGTTTCTTCCCTGATCTCAGTCCTGCTGCTACCCCGCCCCAGCCAGCCTGGTGGCAAAGGCAGGCAGTGCTGCAGATGCCTGGGTATTTATAACCTGGAAGCACTTCTTAGGGAAAGTGACTAAGATGCTAAGAGCATATTTATAGCTAAGTTCTGACGTAAGTGTCAGTGGGGAGGTAGGACTGGGCCAGGCACAACAGCCAAGGGGGTGGGAAGAGGTTGAAACCATGGGCGCCTGATGAAGAGACTGTGGGAAGCTGGCCTCAGTGACTCCTACAGCCACTGCTTGCTCCTTCCCTTGAGCCTGTTTCCTGGCACAAACAGCTATACCCTCCTAGGCATTGCCAGACACGGGCACTGGCAGTCTCACGGTCCGTACCCCGGGGGCTAGCAGGCTGCCACGTGCCAACAGAGAGGGAACTGAGAGCTACAGGGAGCAGAGCCAAAAGTCTTGAATGTGTTTCAGGCTGGGGGAGAAATGCAGGTGGATAGAAGCCTCTCCTAATCTTTTTCCTTCCTCTCCACTCCACAGGGACCTGAATGTCTAGGAAACTTGGCCTCTGCCTTTAGGTTCTATTGCCATGTGTCAAAAGTGGCAGGGACGCAGTCCTGAGGACCTCCTTGCAGTAGCGAGGCAAAAGAGCAGAGGAGCCAGCCGCTCTCCCTTGTCTGTGAGGGTGGCAGGACCCTAAGGAAAGGATGAGGCATATTTCCCATCTCTCCAGCGACTCCACCTGTCCCCAGGAGTCTCTGGTTAACTGCAGTCCAGTGGCAAGAACTGTCCCATGGTGGGCACTGATGGTACTGAGGCTCAGCACTGCCACACGGTGGGCACTGATGGTACTGAGGCTCAGCCCTCAAAACATTTCTTTCCCCTGGTCCAGATCTAGAACTCACTAGGCAACACCACCAGCTAAAGAAGGGGAAGACAGAGAGTAGATAGGGACTCTGAGTCACACCCCCTTTGCCTACAGCTTTTTCCCTGATACTTCCTAGGTTCTTAAAGAAACTAGGGCCCAAGGAGAAAAATTAGCCTGACACCATCTTCTTGTATCAGAGGTAGACAGGACTGCCATTTAAGGTCATGCACCTTAGGGCTGGCTGTGTAGCTCAGTGGTAGGGCTCTAGCCCAGAATTCACAAAGCCTTGAGTCCAAACCTCAGCAACGAATAAAAGCCAGGTATGATGGGTGGTTACATGCCTTTAATCCCAGCACCTAAGAACAGAAGTAGGTTACCCTTAAAAACATAAGGAATTAAAGGTCATCCTTAGCTACAGAAGAGCTCAAAGTCAGCCTTGACTACAAGACAGTTTGTCTCAAACAGCAATAACAGCAAAATAAAGTAATTCACCATAGTCTTCCATATGAAGAAAACTGAGGCAGGAGGATCACTTACATTAGGAGTTCCAGCCAGCCTGGGCAACATAGAAACACTTCATCTCAAGAGACAAAAAATAAGAACCCTCTCCTGCCCTTTCCAAAAGTTAAACTGGGTGGTGGCAGTGCACGCCTTTAATCCCAACTCTCAGGAGGCAGAAGCAGGCAGATTTCTGTGAGTTTAAGGCCAGCCTGGTCTACAAAGGGGATTCCAGGACAGCCAGGGCTACACAGAGAAACCCTTGAAAACAAATACAAAACTAAAACAGAAAACAAAAAACCCAACAACAATAATAAAACCAGTCTGTCAGGCCTGTATTCCCAGTTTTCACCAGATTGAGTCAGACTTGTCATAATTTCAAGGCCAACCTAAGCTATATATAATGAGACCTTGTCTCAAAAAAGCCAGGTAGTAGTGGCACACCTGTAATCCCAGCACTCAGGAGGCAAAGGTGGGCAGATCTCTGAGTTTTCAGACTATCCTGGCCTAGAGAGTGAATTGTAGGACAGCCAAGGCTACACAGAGAAACGCTGTGCATGTTGGGGGCATCTCAGAAATTGGAGGATGGCTCAGTAAAGCACATGAACTTGAATTAGAGTCTCCAGAGCCCAGGTAGAAATGGTAACATGAGCTTGAAAGCCCAGGACTCCCTGGCCAGCGGATTTGGTCTAATTAGTGTGTTCCACCCCTTGTTCCACGCCCTCACCCCTTGCTCTGTCCTTCCCCCCTTGTTGTCAGGCCAAAAAGAGACCGTTTTGTCTCTGTGAGTTCAAGGCCAGCCTGATCTACAAAGTGAGTCCAAGATAGTAAGGGCTACAGAGAGAAATCCTGTCTTGAAAGACCAAAAACCAAACCAAACTAAACTAAAACAACCCAAAGTCAATGAAGAGCATGGCTGGAGGTCTAGGGTAATGAGGAGCCAAGGCTGCTGTGATTTTCTTGCTTTGTTCTCTAAGTCCCTTAAACTTCCATTTTCCAACTATGTCCACAGAGGCCTGGCGCCACCTCTGGAATGCCTCAAATTTGGCCAGCTCCTACAGTGGTCTAATGATGAGTGGTTACCGGGCACAGGCTCTTCAGAGGGATATAACCTTTTGCCAGCCTTGATGGACTCTGTCCTGCTGTAAGATTGCATCATTACCACCCCCACCTCTCTGGGTTTCCCCAGACATCACAGAAGCACGTCCTCACCCCTTGCTCTGTCCTTCTCCCCTCCCCCAGATGGACTCTGGGCAGCCAGCACAGGCAGGGTCAAAAGGTAACTTCTATGTCCTGGGGCACTGCCACCTTGGCCTGAGCAACAGGACTCCATTTTTTTTTTTTAATCACCCTTTCCAAAACCTCACTCACCCCTGTCCCACCCCAAACACTAGAAATGGAGACAAGAATTCTTCTTCTGACCTGGAGACCCCGAGAACTAACCACTGGAACGCGTGGCTGCCTCATAAAACTGTTACAGAACTGGAGGGGCAAGGTGGGAAGACAGGGCATATTGGGGAGCAGCCCATCCCCGCCTGGCTTCTATGGCATCCCTCCTCTGACTCCCAGACCTTGGGAACCGAGCATGTGAAATCATCCTTTTTCTTGCATCATGCATGGCCACGTTGCAACTCCTCCCCCCCCCCATGCCCCTACCTCAAGCCACCACAGCCAGATGGTGAAACTCCAGCCCCTGAGAGACCGCCACCCCCTACTGGGGCCTGATGGGCAGCACAGCTAGCCAATCCTAAGGCTCAGAGGGTAGGTCTGCTGGTTGACCACTAGGTGAGGGAGCCCAAGCCTCTAAAGAGGCCCTGCTCAGTTGTCAGTCATGAGCTGTGGGGTCGGACATAGCTAGCTACCCATCAGGTGATCTGCCTTCAGTCTTCCCGATTCCCAGGCTCTCAAGGACAAGTAGCCTGCCCTTTGTCAAGGATAGCTGTGGCCCTGCCTGCTCCTGCTGCTGCTGCTACTGCTGCTGCATCCTCTTTGGCTCCCACGAAATCAGACTCATTGAACTGCCATCCACTTGAGATTCTCAACTCAGGGCCATCTACCTGGAGCATGGGGCTTTCAAATGTCCAGCTCTGGCCAGTGCTACTGTGGGCATTGGTGTGGGTGCAGGGCACAAGAGCTAAATGCCCGTCCTGTGGGGGCCCAACACTGGCACCGCAAGGAGAGCGTTCTCTGGTCCTAGAACTAGCCAAGAGGCAAATCCTGGAGGGGCTGCACCTAACCAGCCCTCCCAGAATTCCTCGCCCTCTGCCCCAGGCAGTGCTGACCAGGGCCCTGCGGAGGCTGCAGCCGAGGAGCAGGGCTCCTGGCAAACAGGAGGAAGTCATTAGCTTTGCTACCACCGTAGGTGGGTGAGGAGAGGGAGACTGGGAAGGGGCGGCAGAAGGAGTGGGGTGCTGCTGAGAAAGGGGAGCCAGGAGAACAAGTGTGGCTGTGAGGACGCGGGCAGTCCAGGCTCTTTCCGAACGAGGACGGCTGGGCGGGGTGGCAGTGTTAGAGAGAAGCTTTGTCTCTGTTGACGTTTTTCTTTGCTTTTCTTGTTGCTTGGGCAGACAAATCCACTTCAACCTACCGGTCCATGCTCACCTTCCAGCTGTCCCCTCTTCGGTCCCACCACCTCTACCGTGCCCGCCTCTGGCTGCATGTGCCGCCCTCTTTTCCCGGCACTCTGTACCTGAGGATCTTCCGTTGTGGCACCAATAGGTGCCGAGGATCCCGCACCTTCCTAGCTGAGCACCGAAGGACTTCCTCTGGCTGGCACGCCCTGACTCTGCCCTCTAGTGGCTTGCGGGCTGAGGGATCTGGGGTCGTGAAACTCCAGCTTAACTACAGACCCCTGGAGCTCCGCAGCACTGTTGCTGGCCTGCCCAGGCGGCTTGTGGATACAGACGGACAGCAGCGTCCTTTCTTGGAACTTAAGATCCGAGCTAAAGAACCCGGAGCAGGCCGGGCCAGAAGGAGGATTCCCAGCTGTGAGGCCGAGACGCCTTTATGCTGCAGGCGAGACCACTACGTAGACTTCCAGGAGCTGGGGTGGCGAGACTGGATCCTGCAGCCCGAGGGATACCAGCTGAATTACTGCAGCGGGCAGTGCCCGCCCCACCTGGCCGGCAGCCCTGGCATTGCTGCTTCCTTCCATGCTGCTGTCTTCAGCCTCCTCAAAGCCAACAACCCTTGGCCTGCGGGTTCCTCCTGCTGCGTCCCCACGGCCCGAAGACCTCTCTCACTCCTCTACCTTGACCCTAACGGCAATGTGGTCAAGACCGACGTGCCAGACATGGTAGTAGAGGCCTGTGGCTGCAGCTAGCAAGAGGCCCTGAAGGTTCTGAGGGAAGGGCAAGGTTCAAGTTCAGGGTTCCCAAGCAAAGGATTGGAAGCTCATCTGGAAGCATAAAGCTTCCTGACCCGTGCTGACCCCCAACAGGCTATCTGGCAGTAGGACTGCGTTCGACCCCTATGGAACTCAAATGGGCATTTTCTTGTTCCAGATTCTGGCCTATTTTAGGCTGTTTCAAATGTGGACAGATGAGTAAAGTGTTTCCTTTCAAGGGGACTGCCTGGCCAGCACCATTTCCTATAGCAAGCCCTGTTCCAGGACAGTAAGGGAATGGGGTGGGAGGGAAGGGAGAAGGCAGGGGGAAATTAGTGTCTCCCAAAAGATAACAAAGCTCCTCGAGTATGAATGAAGTAGAGGATCCGGCAGATTGGGAAAAGGCAAACATACAGGCTAAGAACAGGGACTCTTGCCTGCTTGGAACAAGGTCAAGAGGAAGATGAGCAAGGTGCTGAGGGGAGAGGAGTGTTAGGAGGCCATGGAATTGGGAGTCAGTAAAAAGGGATGCTGAGCCATGGAGTCTCTAGTTTTTCCTTGGGGACAAGACCCACGTAAAGACATACATTTATACTTTCTTAATAAAAAATGAGAAGGAAAGCAACAGTGAGTCGTGGTAAGGGGCTGGTATGATGGGCCATAAGCAAAGCGTGTCCTGGGGACCTCTGGTAAGTCCCTGAACCCCCTCAGAGGCGTTCAACACTATTTTCATAATAATACAAAGATGTTATTTGTCATTTGTTATTATACCTACATCGTAGAGTGGGAACAGGGTGTGGTGGTTTACTCTTATAGTTACAGCACTTAGGAGGCTGAGACAGGAGGATTAAGGCCAGCCTTCATAGGACAGCCTGAGCTACAGCACTCCTGTCACAAAGCAAACAAAAAATGTACCATGAGTCTTTCCAGAACATGTAGTGGAATACATCTGGTGACAATTGTTGCCGCTAGAGCGGAACTGCTTTATTCTTTTCCTTTCTCTCCTTTAAGATGGTTTATTTTTTTATTTTATGTCTGTAAGTCTTTTGCCTGCCTGTAAGTGCAGCAGTGCCTGTGGCAGTCAGGAGAGGGCGCTAGATCCCTGCAACTGAAATTACAGTTGTGCCTGAGGTCTGCGGAACAGAATCCAGGTCCTCAGGAGAAACAAGCATTCCTCATGGCTGAGCCATCTCTCCACCTACCACACACACGTTTTGTTTTGTTTTGTTTTGTTTTGTTTTGTTTTGTTTTGTTTTGTTTTGTTTTGTTTTGTTTTGTTTTGTTTTGTTTTGTTTTGTTTTGTTT